AATTTCTTCTTAGATGTCTTGTTGCAATTTTTTAGAGTCAATTTGACTAATTTTTAAAGCTAAATTAGATTATTAATTTTTATATTTTAAAATAAATTTTTAGATATTCAAAAACTACATGAAAATACTATTAATTGCAGCTTTTCTCATATCAATATGATGAAAAAATACATCCAAAAATATTAATAAAATTTATACCGTTTGATTCTAAAAAAAACATAACAGCTAAAAGAGAACGGTGAAAGTAATATATATATATATATATATATATATATATTCCACGTTTACAGACTATAAATAGTAATGAGCAATATGCTCGTTAAAGGTTTTGTGTTTCAACCACTTTTATTTATGAAGAAATATTTGATAACGATATATATAAATAATGTGACGTTTACTTGTTTAGGAGATTTGTCAATGTCAACGAATGAAAGAACAACAAGTTTATGGCTATTTCAATAATACGTGCCACTTTCACCTGTCACCTTCATGCAATTTTGTAATTTTATATACCTTTGAACTTTGTATAACGCAAATTTGCAATTGCCTCACGTAACCTCATTTATCTGAAAATAGAAAACCTTTTGGAAAAGTTGTTTAGTGCATAGAGCTGGTGTGTTTGGTAAGATGGATTTTAGTATTTAGCATGTAAGTAAAATTTATTATTCAAATAGTATTTATGTTTAGTGAGATCATGTGGGGTGGGAATGGAGCTACGGGTTGAAAACGAGGTGTGTTAAAAGATGGAGAAAATACAATTAATCTAAAATGTCATTTGTAGAAATTTATTTTAATTATTTTAGTTTGAGAAGTTATTATCTCATTTTTAGGAAACTTATTTTTAATTAGAGAAATATTTTATATACTAGTATTATAACATCTTATACATGTAATCGATCAGAGGTCTCGGGTTTGAACTTTGAGTATGAAAAAATTCTTGGTAGGGTGCGCTTTCCCTTGAATCGGACCTATGCGGACATGAAACAAGATTAATTTGAGTTTCAATATGAATATCATACACTGAATTAAAAAAAAAAAAAAATTTTGTGATTGAAATAAAAGTTGGCTTTTTATTCAAAAACTTTGGTCTATCTTAAGAGACAAGAGGATATAATTTACTTTTAGTGCTATGTTGGCTTCTCATACTTTGGTCACCTTTTGCTTTGCATTTGAGCTTTTTTATTTTTTGGTGGTCGATAGTGTTTTAATGTCTCATTAGATGTTGATCAGAAGAAAAAAAGAAATGTCCAAAAAAGTATGACAAATGTAGTATATATGATGGGTTATTCCATAAAGGCAATGGTGTGAGTGTGACCTAAAAATCTTTGATTCCTATCATGTACGATACATTTGCATACTTATATTGTTATTTTGAAATGTCCAACAATACTTGTTCACTTTATGAAATCAATGGATAACTATAAACTTAGTTTCTGATTTACCCTTATCATTAATTATAATTTTTTAAAGAAGTGTGCAAATATTGCTAGACTGAGAAATTATGTATTTGGGAAAAATGAAATACCTAACAAGTATTAGTCAACTGATCAAATCATTCATCATTCTCTAATTTACGAAATTGTAGAGAAAGAAAGAATTAAGTCCTAGGACCAGATACTTGAAAAGCTTCTACTCAGAAAGAATTTTTTTTCTAAGTATTCACTTAAACAATAAGTTGTTTTAAAAAATGAAATGCTAATTTTAAAATGTACCTTAAATATTTACAAAAACGTGCCTATCTCCATCAATCACATTACGTGCCGTGGGGGTTGGTTAATTAAGAGCATTAACAATATAATTTTGAAAATGAGCATGACTTGTATCTATTAATCAATATTATTTCAAAATGATTAGTCCAAATCGTTCAACCAATACTGATGATTGCGTTGGTACGGTTAAGAAAATAATTGTAAGAGTACTTTAAATACTTTCTATTCTAACACTATAATTTATAAATAACCTTAAACTTGCTCATTAATTAATATGATCATAAGTTTCAACGGCATGCAAAATAAAAATGTAGCTACAATGATAGAAGAATTCAAGTTCCTAAACATATGTTTTGATTAAATCATATCAATAATTTGTATATTAGTTGGCAAAAGAGAAATACCTAACAAAACGTAAACAAATATTAAGCATAATCTTGCACGTAATTCTAATTCCTAATTATTTCCTACAGATTCTTGTTCTTATCGATCTGGTGAGAAATGTGGTTGAGCATATCGTCAAACTGATCAACTAGACACGACTGTAGGGGTTCACAGGAGCATGACCCCATGTACCTTAAAATGTGTAAATAAATGCGAAGTCAGAAGTTTTGTAAAAGAGTGTTTGAAAATTAATATATAAGCATGAAAAATAATTTGTGACCCATGCACTTTAATTTTTCGACGAAGGTGGCGGCTACGCCAGTAGTTGTAACACCACACGTACACTTAACCTTCCCTGATTCATTTGATTGGAACACCTCTTTTTGCTTTGTTTTTGAATAGTATACACGGAGCTTGTGATAAGGTCTTGTAAATTCTACCCTCCTTTGCCCTATTTTATGGAATTATACTGAATTTATTGTTGTTGAATGTTGTCATACACAAAATTGCACATTTTAGAGTAAGCTTTTTCTTTTTTGAAGTACATTCAGGTAAACTCTTTATATGTAATTATGTGTATATATATTAGCTCCCTTTTACAGTTTTTTAACCTTTTAATTCATCTTTTTCTTGAATATTTAGCACTAACTGAAGCTAATCAATTGTTCTATGATCCATCTAAAGTCATTCTTGGGCCCAAAAGAATAATCTTTCTGCGTGTTCGTTATTATTTTTAACGGGCTTTTACACGCTTAAATTGCTGAAATTTCTCATGTAGTCCCTTTTTGGGACAGGTATTTACTAAATGATCCCTTTTAATACTACTCTTACAATTTATAACCTTTTTAGACCATGGTCGGAACTTGGAAGATTCATTTGAGAAACTTGATTTTATGAGGAAATGTTGGATCGCAATCTGAAATCTTATGAACATTAGATGATAATCTGATGTTTCGTTAGGACCAAGGTCTATATTTGTACAAGTATTAAATATATGGACAAAATCTAAATAACGGCTTACATTTTGAGCCATTAAATTGAAGAGGAGTTTTCACAAATATACAGCCCCAGCACAATATTTTGCTCCTACACAGCTATATATATATATATTTAAGTTTGCATCCACATACTCAACATTTTTTTTTGCAACGATGGTGATAAACCCTTTATACATTATTATATTGTACAATATTTATACACTTATACAATAAATAATGTATCAATCATGTATATAAGTGTGTAATAATTTAAACGATGTATGTTTTTGTATACAAGTATATAGCATGCATGCCATTAACTACTAGCTTCATATAGACTATAGTGATTTTTAGTTGCTCATGCAGTTTTTGTTCAAAATCAATCCAAATACGAGTTCAAGTTTCGTACACATGAACTTTCATAAACTATTTCCAACAAGTTTAAGCAGTATTCACTCCAAATTTCTCATTTTACGACCTATATCTTACAAAACTAGTACTCTAACTACGATTTGTCGACTAACAATCAAGAGGTGGTTAGGTTAAAGAAAAGAAATAGGGAAATGACCTAGCTTTCATCAAATTATATACAATATTGACCAATCCAGGTAAGGATTAATTTATATAACCTATTATTAATTAATGGGGAATTTTCGTAAATAGCCACTATAATAAACTTAATTATGCTCCATAGCTACAATTTACATATTTACGGGCTGTAGCTACAATTTAAGCTGTCTCGTTTGTATAATTCGCAGGTTTGCATAATTCGCGGGTACATTTGTATAATTCAATTATTTTTGTATAAACTCGAAATAACCAATTTATACAATTACAAACATCAGGAGTGTAAACAATTATACAAATTCTGAATTATACAAAAGTTATACAAATTCTGAATTATACAAACGTGCGAACTATACAAAACTAAAAAGTTGAGCTGCGTAATTATAACTAAAAGTAGGTCGCAAATTGTAATTAAGGCAAACTATAGCTATGTTAACTACTCTCTCTGTCCCAATTTATGTGACTTACTTTCCTTTTTAGTCAGTCCCAAAAAGAATGACACTTTTCTATATTAAGTAACAATTTAACTATAAATTATTTATTTTACCCTTAATGAAATGATTTACAGCCACACAATTTCTATCATTCATTTTGAACCACAAGTTTAAAAAGTCTTCCTTTTTTCTTAAACTCTATGCCGAATCAAACTACATCACATAAAATAGGACGGAGGGAGTAATTAACTAGTATATGTTTGTTTAAACGCGTAATTTTCCTTATTAATTATTTACACTAGCTATTTAGTATTAATCTAGAGTAACATAAAATTTTCCTTATTTTCATATTACTTATTTAATTTTCAATTCACGATTACATGTAACAATCTTTGCAAAATATATAAAGATCATCATTCTAAATTTGGCATGTTTTTAATCAAAATTCCCCTAAACTATTCGTAGTCTTAATTACCCACCCGCAATCTCTTCCTAATAAAGTAAGATATACTCGTCCGCCATGGAGAAACACAAATTTAAACCAAGCATGTATTTTTAGTCCTCTTGTCGGAATTCTTGTCTCTAATGCCTGTTAATTAAAAGAACTTATTTCGTTATGCAAAATTTGCGAACATATATATAGGTAGATTAACTGTTATCTGATATACAAAGACTAGAAGATACTTCCTCCGTCCATTTTTAGTTGTCATGATTTTCTTTTTTTCAGAGTCAAACTATAAGAATTTTGACTAATATTCTACGATCATTACATTGATATTCAAAAAATTGCAATTTATAGTACTTTTGGTATAGTTTTTGAATATTAATTATTTTGTTTAAAAATATTGAATTAATGTAATCTAATTTAAATTTAAAAATTAGTCAAACTGACTTTCGAAAAAAACATGACAACTAAAAGTGGACGAATGAAGTACATAATTCATTTATTTTCTTATATATATAATAATAATTACACGGATAATTAAGTATATATTACAGACAAGAAGATAACTACATATCCAGTACTCATGCAAAAATATAAGCAAAGTTTACAAGGATTAGTATATCGATCGATATTAAAGTAGTACTATATATAACTGCAAACATATATAGTAGTAACGTAACACATATGTAGTATTAGGGTAACTCATATTCAATTCTCAGACTAATTAGGGTTTCCACAAACCCTTATTATAATATGACATGATGATTAATTTGGTATGAGTTTGAAAGGAGGTTTGGATAGAGCAGGTGATGGATCATATCTTCCATAATCCTTTGTGTTCATTTTAAGAACCCTTTCATGCCTTAATTGCTCCTCCTGTTTACATACAAATTACAATTAATATATTTAAAAGTTTTAAAGGAGAAAAATCAAAATATTTTAAAAAAAACTTGTTTTTAACTAGAGTGAAGAGTCAAAAACAGACCTTTAACTATCCAATTTTTCGAATTTCATGTGTGACCTATCAAGCATGCGACTTTTCTATAATTAACATAACTCAACTATCAATCGTTTCATTTTCCTACCTTAACGATGGTGAATCCAGGTAGGTAAAAAAGAACAACTAATGGTTCAGGTGTACTGTTAAATAGTTGGTGATAGTTCATGTATGAAACTTGTACACCCAGTGGCGGAGCCACATGTAGTTGAGGGACACCCCTCGTCGGAAAATTACTACACACTGTGTAGTTAGAGTAAAAATATTTTTTATGTATATATATTACATATTGACACTCCTTGAATTCTACGCGATTTTACTTCTTTATATTTTGACACCCCTTAGTCGAAGTTCTGGCTCCGCCTCTGTGTACACCTAATATAGTTCAGATATGAAACTCAAAAAATCATGATATTTTAGGTGTGTTTTTGACCGTTAACTTTTTTAAGGTATGCAATTTAAATTTTCTCCAGCTTCATGAAGGGAAAAAATAAAGAACTCTAATAAAAAAGACCAGAGAGTACTGAACTCTTTGGCCATAATACATAGCATTTGATTAATCATGATTACTTAAGAAACTGAAAGTGATTTAACTTGCATACAATTTATTAGCCTCGATATTCCAAGAAATTGTTAATAAAATGATGATTATATTATATACTAATTAAATACAAACCTCATGAGTTGCACTCAGCTCTTCCTGATCAAAGTTGTTCAAAAAGCTCGACTGTCGACCTGCTGCATCAAAGTAATTGTGCCACATAGTTTTACTTTAATTTGCCTTAGTCTTATTGTTCTTGAAACTCGAACAAGATTAAATATTATAGCTTAAACAAACCAAGTATAAACCTAATTAAACAGCATTTTATAAGTAATTACTATTATAGTACTTAATCAAATTCATCTCTACATGCAGGAGTTTCGCCTAATTTGGCCTATAGTATTAAGTGGCGTAGCCAGAAATTTTAACCAGAAGACCGGGAAAAAATGCAAGAATATGATTGAAAAGAGCTTGTTAGGTTCTAATTGTACTTAGTATATATGTCTTGTTGATTCTAAGAAATGAAACCTAATTATGTATACATATATATGAGTCATTATAGTTAAGTTCATGTACCTGCAAATGAAGTTGAAAAAAGGGATGCAGATATGAGAAGGAAGAAGAGACTAATTTTCTTGATTAGAATGAGATCCCCCATTATCAGAAAATTTTATAAAGTATTCTGCAATTCTCTCTTTTTCTCTGGCAGTCTCTCCTTTTAAGTATAGAAGCAATGATGCTTTACTTTCTCTATGTTGCACCATTCAACATTTAAATATATAGTAGTACTATTGGCATGCTTTTGGATAGAAATTGAACACAAATATTTTATTCTAAAGAATTCAATCATCCTTATTTGCTTTTGGTATTAAATTTGGAAAATTATCAAAAAGGTGAGTGGCACCACTTTTCTTTTTGTTGGGGCACTATTAGTCTAAAGAGTTAGTGGAATTAATTATTTAATATTATATCGTTTAATTAAATCCATAACAGGGAGCATGGACCCCTAATACAAGTTTCACTGTATCCCATTTTGTTTTTAGTGTTAAATTTCACTTAGTAATTCAATATCTCATTGCATATAAGAACATCTTTACTCATGAATCAAATTTTGATTTGCCAATCACTGAACAATAGTAAATTTTTTTGGATAGAGATCACACAACTTGAAACTAAAACAAAAACAACCTAGGACAGAAAGTTAAGTCTTTAATGTACCACATCTCATGACTCAAACCTAATTATAAGTCAAATTGTGATAATAGACTGATACTACTTGTGTAAACTCTTGTACATCCAATATGCATTAACATTGATTCCCAAGAGCAACGTATTTACTAGTTTCTAACGATACATGTCTTGAATGATCATAATATATATAAATAAACAATCATCGAGATTGAGGAAGCTATTTTAGTAATGATTCAAATAGAGTGATGATACTTCTCAAAATAATTAATGGGATAATTATGAGTTTGAATCATTCGGATATCTATATATATATATATATATATATACACTTTATGTATAATATACAAAACTATACACAACATATATACTATCAATATATATGTTGTGTATACTTAGATCATATTAGTAAACTAGTTGACCGAGGGTATATATCCGTAAGTTTCTCATAATTAATCCTTGTATATGTTTATCAAAAGAGAGAAATTAAATAGTACTATTCAATTACTCCAATGACAATAATTTGTACTTGTTAAAGGATAGAATGTGTTGATTTGATTTTCTAGGTCTAGCTATTAGTTATCTATAGATTTTAATAAGTACGAGAGAAAGCAAAAGAAACCACATTGAACAATGCTCGATGAATAGTAGGGTCTTTATAGGATGTGTTTTTGACATGTAAGTGGAGTTTTCAGACGGGACCAAGCTAACTCTTATAATACCATATCAAAGCTTCAGGTTTAACTTGCCCCTCAAAAATTAGTTCAAATGGAACAAAATTGTTATCAAGCCTTGTTAGAAGATCATGAAATTTCATCCCTCATCCATGTGGAATTCATTCTATTTGTCAATGCGGATACATATATTAAAAGTTTTACTTAATATCTACTACGTTCAATTAACATAGAAACTTGATAACTATTTATCGAAAACTTAGGTGAATGGAAATAAATTGTATAGGGAGTATACATAGTATCTTTTAGAGGGGAGTAAAGGTGGAGGTTACGAGGTGAAATTCGAAATTGAATCGTACGTAGTCAATAAAATAAAGTTTATCACTTATGATTTTTACTTCACATTATTAACCGGTAAATTAAATTCCATGGAAGCATCCTTTCACTGGTAAATTAGGTAAGCATAAAATAGTTTTTTGGGGATTAGTGCTATCAATTATCCAATACGACAAAGAAAACCTACCAAATGCCATATTGAAAGGACATTCATGGTGGAGGATAAAGTGAAGCTAATTAAGCATATTATTGGTAGATGATGAATTCTTTCCATTTAATTTATTCATTTAAAGGTACAAATAAAGTTATTTGATATCCCTACCTGTATGTTAATTATTTAGCAACTTGTCAACTCGTTATTGTAAACAATAATAATTCTTGATAAATTAATGGTACTAGAGAAAGTATCACACTTTTTTCCAGTGAACCTTTTTTCCCCTCTAATTTTAAAATGGAATTTTGATACTTCTATAAGTAATTTAAATGCATGGGACAATAATGTTCACTGAGAAAAAGAGAAATATTTCATAGTCCATAGCCAATTCACAAATGCATAGGATCTCTAAATTATTTTTTTGCAACCCTATTTGTCATTGACATGATATTTTTACTAGTCCTATTGGATACAAAAACAAGCAAGTGCTTTAGTACTATAGGTAATTATTGATTACATTATTCTCAATATATTCAAAGAAAATTTTATAATTATGGCTATCTGGGCCAACATATGCACAAATCAATTAATTTCATGAAATATCTTCTACCTCCCATTAGTATATGGGATCGGATAATTTTATCCGCTAAAATTTGAACAAATGGGAAGAAATCAGTATTCCTCTTTCCTGCCCATCCAATAATCATACCTTCAATCTTTTTTACCCTCACTTTCTTTTCAATTCTCTATTTTAAATAACAATGCGCAAATTTGACTTTTGACAACAATTAACAGATTGAACAAAAAGATTATGTTTTTTATCCAACTAAAAAAGTTGAAAAGTTAAAATAGTTCTTAGCGCTATGTATTGCAAAAGCATAAGTAATTGAATCAAAGTGTCTCAAATTATCTGTTATGGTTCTCTTTTACACGCGTCTTAAAAATTGACAAATGATTTAAGATTACTATTTTAAAAAAGCATGACAAATAATTTGAAACAAAGAGTGAAGACCAAGTCTCAATTGTTATTTCCTTCTTTTGCTTTTTGACTACACCTTCCCAGTTTTTCAAGCTACTCCTATGGATCCCACGTATCATAAAACAAATTATTATTAAATAAACTAAACAAATGCAACTATCAGCATCTCATCAAATAATAGATATTAATATTAAAAAGAAGAAAAAAAATGAATTGTACCACAAGAAAGTCAAAAGAATGCACTCAAGAAAGCAAGATTAGACTAAGATCGAGCAACTAGCTGTAGTACGATTGGATATCGATCTAATCTCATCACGCTCCCCTACTCATATAAAAAAACCAGTACATTGAAATGCAAATACGAATCAGAAATGTGGTCAACATCATGAAGAATAAAGAGATACAGTCTACACGAATGGATGTTTTCACAAGAAATATGTCAAAAAATTGAGATTTTGGTCACAGAAGGTTCAAACTGTTTCTGAAGAAGAGAGAGATACCTAAATGTAATAACACAACATTGAACAAATCCCGAGCACAGATACAGCTGTTATAAGTCTCTCTACACCAAAAATACCGCGAAAATTACTTTTCATTTAGAGGATGGACCACTATCAACCATGTCTGTGTTTTCACTGCGCAAACTGCTATCTCTTCTGTACATTGGTTTCGCACCCTGGGAGAACAAAAAGGAACAGTATTTATTTACATACCATGAAAGAATCTTAAAAATTAAAACTACTTACTACTCCCTCATCCTAATTCTTATGTCTCTCTCTCCTTTTTGTTTTGTCCCCAAAAGAGTCTTGTTCTATATATTTCGTAAGTTTTTCAATTCCAACATCCTACTGGACAAGTTTAAGACTATACACATCTATCATAAGATTCAAAAGTTTCCCGTTATTGCTTAAACTTCGTGCCACAGTCAAACAAAGACACTTAAATTGGGAGGGAGGGAGTATCTTTTATCACCCAAATGATTATTGATTTTACAGTTATACATCAAGATATCCAAAGCCGTTACTGAGAAACTACAATTATGATCATCTTTTACAAACTTCTAATGATATTTTCCAGGGACGAACGATACAAGTTATGAATACAAAGTCTAAAGCTATCTTGTCTTGCTGAAATGCTTAAAAAAAAAAAACTTTGATCCACTCACCTGAAAAATTGTCCCCAGTTTTTTCATGGCCCTAGCACGTAGCCTGACAGTATCCTTAGGAACATTGGGCTCTTTAAGGACCTAGGCAAAAAAAAGAGAAGCAAACAAGTGAGCTTGATAATAAACATGAAGAGGCTCCTCATTTCATAAATATGTAAAAATTGCACAATTTGCTGTCGTAAGTTACAGAGCGTTCAGTGTATCAGAAGTCACAAAGATGATATAAAAATATACAAGGCTGGTTGCGTTCAGATTAATAAAGAAAAGTGAAATGCTCAGACCATGCTGGCACACTTCAATAACGGAATGTTACTTGAGAATTTTTTTGTAAGAGATTCATTTACTGTTTTAATCTTTTGTCTAGATTATTCCATTCAATTTGGAGTTAATATACTTGACTGAACACTCAACTTTATATAGGCAGTAAGGCAGGAGCATCTGTAGACTGTAGCAAGTCATAAATAAGTACCCTAGTGCAATTCGAGGAACAATAGGATCCACCATCATTGGATAAAGAAGAATTGGCAGTTCTTACCGCTTGGCAAACACGCGATAAAGTTAACTCAATATCCACGACGTTAATTTGCCACAGTGATTTAATCATGATATCTTTCTTTTCTTCCATTGTTTTGATTGCATCCTCTACTTTGTTCTCCTCATGGTACTTCTTTTGCTCTTCTTGTATTTGAAGTAAAGAAACAGCCCCTGAAAAAAAACAGAAGGCATGTTACTGCTAAATGTATTAATCAGAAAAAAGGGGGAATTTCACTGCTAAATGCTATCTATGAGAAGTTGAAAAGAGTAAAGCCTGTTTCATCACCTGAAGCCGCCATTGCTTGTGATTTTATTAGGTGTCCTTTGTCCCTTACCCATTCTGCCAAAAATGGCACCTTCATGAATCTTTTAGTTTTCCCAATTTCTCTGGCTGCTTGCCTTGTGTAGATATAGCCAATAGTATGCAGCATAGCCTCACCAAAAGCTGAAAATATGACCACACAGAGAAAATATCATTTCAAAAACTGAAGGTCCTTGATAACTGATGGACACATTGTATAATAATACAAACATTAATAACTGATCTTCCAACCCCAAACCTTTACCGCCTCTAATATCTGTTCTTGGATTGCAGAATCGCATCACAAAGACTACAATGAAGAAGAAGTCCTCAAAGTAGACAAATCTCCTGGTTTCTTAATTTTTTCCGAACCAGCTCATCAAAAGCATTTGAAAAACAGTGCAAGCAATTTAATGAAAAGCTGCCACAAGACAAGAATACAACACCTACTCTTCCAAGAAGGCCTTCAGGGAAAGTCAGAAGAGAAGGCTTTGAAAACTCGACAGTAATCAGAGAAGAAAGAAACAGATTGCTGTTCTAACCGCTGTCAGAGGATGAAAAGTGATAACGTAGTTCTAGAAAATGGAAAAAGCTAATAGGAGATCCAACTCAACTAAAAAGACTTGCAGTCAATGGCAAGGCTGTAGAGACTTTTGGAAGCATCAAGGAAGAAATCGTATAATTTTGTTAGGATCTATATACGGAAGAGGAGAGTTGGGGATCCTAAGTATATATAATTTCTTATTCACAAATTGGATAGGCACTTGAACTGGTGTTAGAGGATGAAAAACATATGGACTACATAACAACTATGATGACTGAAGGCGTTAAAACAGGAATGAGGTAGACCTAAAACATATGGAACGAAGTCGCCTCAAAATATCTACCTTTTTCTCAAAATTCATGAGAAGCTAAAAGCAGAACATAAGGGCGCAAAAGATCTAAAAAGAGCATACCAGTTAACTTGGATTAATGCTTGGCTATCATTACACTTGCATTAGGTCCATCGTTTGTGGGAGCTTTTAGATAAATTAGAAATTTGTATGCTGATTGCTGATGCAAGAATTGGTATCAGATTTAGAGAACTTCAACCTCCTTCTTTTTTAATCTTTTGATAAGTAGAGAACTTCTACCTTCAGAGGAACCCTAAATGTCTTAAATGAAAAATTATTATGTAATGTAATTAAACAGGCCTAAAAAGAGCAGCATGCATATAGTGGATGTGTTATGAGGCAAACGCTAGTTCAGATTATGGCGCGCATTAATTGATTAAAATTTGAAAAGAAACAAATAAGGGACAAGCAGGTGAAACAATCTAACCAGCTTGAGCAAGATGTTGCGCTTCTGATTGTGCCCATTGTAAGAACTCATCCTTCCGGCCTTCTACATATGGCTGAAGATGTTCTTTTAAAATTGTCGTGAGCTTCTCTACCCTTTCCTTTTGCAATTTCTGTAGTTGAAAGAGGATTGCCTCAGTCTATCACATGAACAATTGAACTTTTATGAAAACCCTGTGAAACAAGAATACCTTCAATTTCTCCTGAATGTTCTGCCTACGAAGCTCAGGAACAACTTCGTCCTCTTCATCTTCAACAGTTTGTATGGAAGCCAATCTAAGTTCCCCGACATAATCAACAAATACATCGCTCCCAAACAGCATCCCAAATACAGTTGCAGGGTGCATCAGATCCCTGACAAAGGATAGACAAAGTAAACACAAAATGGTTTTTTCTAAGCCTAAATTCTAGAATGGGAAAGTAAATGAGTCACTATTTTACTGATGATCTTCTTAACGTTTACTCCACAAGATCATTAGAAGGATTTTCAGTTTTCTTACCTTTGGGACAAGTTGACTAGGAGCCTGTTACTAGTTTTGCAGAAAAGATTTAAGTATGAAGTATGAAAAAAATACAAAAGGGCCAAGAACAAACGGATGTAGCTTTAAATTAAAAGGCGGATGAAATAAGTTAATGCAGCACTTCCTATTTCACACTTACTTAGGCATATCTTCTTTACCATATTTGTCATAAAGTTCACGTTTCTCAGGATCACTCAGCACCTGATAAGCCTCCCCAAGGACCTTCAAAAGTGAACAATAAGCAGAAGAACAATGAGACAGAGGCAAAGGAAATGTAAAGAAGTTTTGTGACACCGCTCCACTCGCACAAGCATTCCCTCCATCCCAATTTATTGTTAAGCACTTTGACTCATCGGATTCTTGGAACATGTTCGAGCACAGTGCTCTGTTTTCAACTCACACACAGCCAGATGAACGCATGAACCCAAATAGGAGCTTTAAAAGATTGAAACTTCTGCGATGTTGATGCATTCAAAAAATTTAAAGTATGGCAACTCAAGTGTCCAATGGTACCTAGTTGAAAAGTAAAACTAAAAGATCTAACAGATCTTAAAGGTTGTACCTGGAAATTACGAGCAGCTTTTGGGTCCCCAGGATTCTTGTCTGGATGTGTAGTCCTTGCCTGAAATAGAACTACTATTAGTGCAAGGAACTATTTGACTCGAATCCAGAGATCTTTGTGCAGATAAATATCAAGGAAAGTTAACTGGCCAAAAGAAAATTTTCAAGGATAACTTAAGCTTCCTTGCAAGTGTAAACTACATAAAAAAGTAGCTCCAGGCTAACTCTAGGAATACCCTGATCTTTATGCATTGCATACTTGAAGTGCAGAGAATGTCTTGGAATCAGTCACGTATACTAGTAGCAAATAGTTGTCTTTCCAAACTAACCATTGATTTATTATAGTTACAATGTGTTAGTTTGCAACACAAACTTACTTGGTGCTATCCAGCCTAAAATTTCAAGTGATCCTTTCGTCTTTCAGCATATAGTTGCAACATTGGGATTAGAAATGGAAAACACTAAGGAGAATGGCTTTAGGAACTGCATCCATGCTGATAACAGAAACCCAACCTTGTTCAGATGGCGGGAGATTGTGATAAACAGACCAATCAAATGCACATAAACAACAATTACATCTCAATTCCAATCAAGTGTGGTCAGCTATATGAATACATGGCCATGTCACTTCATTTAAGCCTCAATTTAATCTCTCTAGCATGAGAGTTCTCTTTATTTTCTACTAGCACATAAATCTCTAACTAGTCTAACAGACTCTTGCAGACATTGGAAATAAAGTAAACTTAAACATGACTAAGAGAAATGCACATCCGAGTAGGAAATAAAAAACGATAACTAAACTAAGTTGAGAGAGAAAGCAAGAAAATTCAATTTCAGGGAATTCTACATGTTTGTCACATCAAAAGGGTAGATGATCATCTAGTAATAAATTGAACAAATGATATGAGTGCATTCTCAAAATTGAAAGTCTCCAGAAAAAGAAAACAATAAGCTAAAATGCTATATCACCTTGAGATAGTAAGCTTTCTTAATTTCAGCAGGAGTCGCGGTTACAGCAACCCCCAATATGTCATAGTACTCTGTGTGCTTCACCATATCTAATCAAATGCAAACTTCCAATAGACTTAAACCTGCAATCACTCAACTGAGAACAGAAAGCAAATAACAATTCACTCTCAAAATCAAACACAGACGTAAAAAATCAGTCACAAGGTAACAAAAATTCAACAACCGAACACTAAATATTTAAGCCCAAAACATTGCAAGACATATTCCCTCCTTCCCAATTCAAGTGTCTTACTTTCCTTTTTGGTCTGTCACGAAAACAAAGTCCCTTTCTATATTTAGTAAGTTTTCCAATTTCAACATTCTATTTAGCAAGTCTAATAGCACAAGATTTACAAAACTACACAAATCTTTAATTTATGACCACAAGATTCAAGAATTTCCCTTTATATCTTAAATCCCGTGGGCGGCAATCAAACTAAAACATTTTAATTAGGACAGAGGAAGTAAACAAAACATCTTCAAATCCAAAAACAAGAATCTTGATTACTGAACACATAAGTGAAGGGATAATGAAAGAAACAAGATTTAGAATATGGGATTACCACCAGATGGAACATTGAATTATCAAAAGCAAAAAAGAAACAAGATTAGTAATAAATCAAGAAACTCACTGTGTTGCCAATTTGATTGAAGGGTCAAACTGATAGTGATTTTACAGAAATTTGAAACTTGGGTCTTGATATAAATGTATAAATCTCGATGATCTTGAAATAATTAGACGTGTGGCTGTAAACGCGTAAACCAATCGCCGATACTCAGAAATTCAAGAAACCTTAACCGCGGATTCTGCTAATAACATTTAATTTGATGATTCTTTGTTTACAGATTACGACGAGATAGATTCTTTGATTCGTTAAAAAATCAAAGATTTGTTCTTCGCAGGATTGAGACCGACAACCCGCTTAAGGAATGAGTTGGGCCTGTGATAATGATGAAAAGGCTCACTCAAATTACACAAATATTCCTACCAATATTTACTAAGGGCAACTTTCACATATAGCAAATACAAAAATTATATTTGTATGTTATAGTTATACTTTGTCTAAGTATGCTCCATAACAAACATAAATATGTATATTTCGCTATACATATACAAAAGAAAGCAGTTGTATATAATATGTTTTTGTTTCGGTATACATATATAAAAGATCAATTGTATAATATGTGTTTGTATAAAGCAAGAAAGAGAGAAAGGAAAAAGAGAATTGGGTAAGGGAATATTTGTATTGTATAATTATTAGTGTATAGGACGAAGATATATGTATTTGCATGTGTATATACAATTTTCTCTCGCTTTATACAAACAGAAACGCAATTTCTACATTCATGTTTGTATAAGCGAGAGAGGCGAGGGAGAAACTAGCGAGCGAGATCTGGGAGAGTGGCGAGTCATTGCGCTCCATAGCAAACATAAATATGTATATTTCGCTATACATATACAAAAGAAAGCAGTTGTATATAATATGTTTTTGTTTCGGTATACATATATAAAAGATCAATTGTATAATATGTGTTTGTATAAAGCAAGAAAGAGAGAAAGGAAAAAGAGAATTGGGTAAGGGAATATTTGTATTGTATAATTATTAGTGTATAGGACGAAGATATATGTATTTGCATGTGTATATACAATTTTCTCTCGCTTTATACAAACAGAAACGCAATTTCTACATTCATGTTTGTATAAGCGAGAGAGGCGAGGGAGAAACTAGCGAGCGAGATCTGGGAGAGTGGCGAGTCAAATCTGGGAGAGGGGAACGAAAATATATGTATATATACAATTTTCTCTCGCTTTATACAAACACAAACGCATTTTATACAGTTGTGTTTGTATAAAAGCAAAAGAGGCGAGGGAGAGAACGAGAGTGGTGAGTGAGATTCACCAGGAGAGAAGCAAAATAGCAACAGTTTGCTATGGGTACAATTAAATCAAACTATGTTTATAACATTTAATTTGAATTAATAGTTTGCTATTATATACAATTTTTCCATTTACTAATCTTCTTTGTAATTTGAAATAATTATATTTTATCTTATTTTGCTTAATAATTTCATGCTAGATTTAAAATCATATACATATATTTAGCGAACTTTGCATGTAACTAACTTGAAATATGCTTTACAAATTATTAAATAGTGAAAATCACACTAGATACACGCTATATACATGTATTTGGTGTGATTTGCATATATTGGGATACCATATACCGAGGGAGAATTGTCTATATGTCCTAGATACAAACGGATTCACTTTGATACAATATATCTAGAACAAACTACACCTAACTTTTCCCCCCATGTATCCCAAGATATATGTATCTCGACATTTCTAAACACACCAAGATTTGATAAGATTTGTAATATTGAAAACTAGCATGTATCTAAGTGATTAGCTTCTAAACTATTGAAATTTTTGTAAGTGTTAAATATTTCAATATTTCATCAACATCCAGTTACTAAAATTCAGTATTTAAAAGAAAATACCAAAATACAGAGTATCTGACGTCCTCATAACAATAGCATCTTCCAATCATGAAATTAATCTAGACCTTTATAGCCCATTATCTGGCCCAACCCAAATAATTTCATCGTGAGCCAGCAAATAATGCTTGATGGGCTGACATTCATATGTTTTTGCCTAGAATATGCATTATATACACATATTTTATATGTAATATGCATTATGCATACACTGAGTATGTGGTTATTGTATTTTTTACATAATCGTGTGTATCTTTTTATATATATTTGACTAGAAATATTATTTATTTTTAGCCATCATCGAAATGTATAACTTCCACATAAATATTTTAGTAGGTACAACTTAGATTCAAATGGCATGGAAGACGAAATTATGCAAAGAATAACAATACATTAGTTATATAATTAAAATAGAAGACTGTAACGGGAATGCTATGGGATTTGAAGAAACTCAATAAAATGAAATAAAAGTTCCACTAGACTAAAGTCTAAACTATATTATGAGATCGAATGTTGGGCATCTAAGTTTCAACAAATTATGCATAAAATAAATCTGCGGAAATGCTAAAATATTAAGATAATGTACATTAATCATACAAAAATAAATAAGATTCAAGATGATCACATATGACATAAGATGCTAAGTAATACATACTAAATATAATGTTTGAAATATATTATAATTACAGAAGGTGATAAAACGGGACGAGATAAACCTAGAATCATATGGAAGAAAGGTGATAATAAAGTGAAAATTTTGATTATTAGAAATTATGAAATTTATCGATAATTTCCAGCTAATTCATTGCTAAATGGCTCCTAGCTAATTAATTTTTCTTATAATCTGTCACTAATTCATAGCTAAATAGAATTACATTAAATTTTTACTATTTAGCTACGAATTTTGTCTGTTACTAAATTGTAGTTGATGCATGTGACGAGGGACCATATATTGTCCAAAAAAAACAGTGATTTTTCTTGTGGATAGTGTAACTTAATACGGCTTTGCCACGTTGTAGTCATTAATTAATTATACTTGGAAGATATAGAGTATACTTTACCTTTTTAAGTCTAGTAGATAAATTGAAAAAGCCTAGCTAGAGAAGTCTTATTGCTCTTCCTTTTCTAAAAGCTAGGATCTTCAATTTTAAGTCATTTTTGTGCATGCCTATCACTGCCATGTTTATTTTTTTACAAAAAAAAATTGTCCAAATTTTAACCCCCTTTATTACATGAGATATCTTCATTTACTTTTGATAAAGAAATATATTTTCAGTCCAACACAATTTCAGAACTAGTTATTCGTGAGAGAAAAATTGATCAAAATAATATAAAAAGTTCATGTTCCAATCCCTTAGTAGATGTAGGACAACAACTTTATTAAGTTGTATATTAGACCGTGACTGGTCGTTTGGTGCCTAGTTAAGACGTGAACTATTCATTTATTAAATTAATATCAAACATAATTATATGGGATTTTTTTTATATATGTATATATATGATGATTAATTCTGTCAGTAAAAATTTCACACAAGTTACAAAATTGTATTGATAGTGTGTACCTCCACTCATTAACTACTTGAACCACTATGGTTCCAAACTTCAACTCAAAATCCCATATTGTAGACCAAAAAAGGCTAAGATCTAAAGTGGAGCCCATATTGTGTTATGTAGGCTTTATCTCTACAAAGGAAAGTAGAAGGGGACCCTATTAAGAAAGAGAAGCACCTAATTCCTCTGTTGGTGCAATAAATGGCAGCCTGGGAAATTCTGGTAATATTCTTTTGAAACTTTCTGCAGAATCAAAGAAAATGGACTTCATATTTTAGGGAAAATGCTCATTTTGTCTTGTCACTATTCATTACCATCAACACATAACAAACTTTATGACTATGTATTCTTCACTTTTTACTAAAAAAAAATTTGGTGCTTTCCACGTGTTAATTTGCTAAATTTTGTACTTTTCTCTAGAGGAGTGATTGTTCTGTGCAAGACATGTTCAGAAAAATCGACTAAAATGAGCTTTTTCACTGCCTCACACTGATACTATTCTCGATTTTATGTTACATCTATTTGTAGATGGCTATCGAGTTTCGAGTTCGAGTGCTGACTTATTTTTAACTTAGTATGTGTACATATATACTATCCTTTTTTTTTCCTGCACTTTCAGGTGATTAGAAGCAGGGGGCGAAGCCAGAGGTCGGGAACAAAGAGGTTCAACATTAGTATATATATAAAAGGTCAACATTTTATGTATATATAGTACCTGTCGAATTTTCTTAATTTTTTTTATTTCTATATTAATTTAGGACTTTAAAAATACATCGTCATTATAATTTTATTTATTTTTTTATAATATTAAGATTTAGGTCATCCAAAATCCCAAAGGATATTTATACATGAATATCATATAAAGATGACATGACAATGTAAAAGTAAAGTTATTTATATTGATGATGTGAATATTACTTAATTCAGTTAGTAAGAATCTTAACTAACCTACTTATAAGAAGTTGAGTAAAACTTATATGTAATTAATTAATTAGGGAATTAGGACTTCCATATACTTGTAATTAATTACACAGAGAACCTCTCTGTTTTGGCTTCTTTAGAGGCACAAAAGTCTTCATATTCCCACCAGAACATCATATGATAGATTTATATATGCCTCTCTCAGGCTTTTGATTAATTAATTACTATTTTACTCAATATTAATTTATCACTAATTAGCTATTAAGCAAAACTAAACAAATAGACCGTCTTTTTCTGCATTGATCATGTGAAGACTTTCAAGTGTATGGCTGGCCACATGCTATCACAAACACTTTAATTTGATTTTGTTTTTAAATAATTAATCTTTGCTAATATTTTATGAAATCTTGAAGAAAAAAAAAGAGACATGACATGAGATTTCATCATCTTTGTCCCTTATGTAAAAAATCATGGGCCTAATTTAAAAAGTAAAAAAACTGCCATTAACTTCCTGCCACTTCATTATACAGTACACCATTCTCCACCAGTCAACATGAATAAAAGTAGAATATTATAGAAAAGTATCTTCGATCGCGGAGATTTAGCATTTAAAGTTTATGTGTCTGAGTTTAGAATTTATTGTAACAAACTGTTTGATTACATGATTTAGATCTAGTTTTATACTGTTTTGGTGAGTTTCTTTAAATTCAGAGAAGATTATCTTCATTTGAAGTAATATTGTAACAAACTAGTTATCTTCTGCTACTTGCAAGATCATTTATACTGTTAAAATTATGTGACCATTTTATGGAACAATTTAAATTATTACAGAGCACATTTTTAACTATTTAATTATAATTTAACACACAATTTTACGTGCGTATCTCTTTTTTTTTCCATGGACTAAACATGTGAATAATGACTATTTTAATCCCTCGTTTAGTAATAATTCTTACTTTACTCCTTGTAATATTTAACTAAACA